GGCTCTACTACCAACCGCCAGCCAAACCTACCTCGAGATAGCGAGGCTGTGCATGCTCGGATTTACCTACTACTTTGGCCCCAATCCAATCTAGGCGCTCATTTCCGGATAAAAACATTATTCGGATGTTTTACAGTTTTACCGCTGGGGTTGACGAAAATCAAAATACAGGAACTGTAAAACGGTATTTTACAGTCTGATTATACAGTCGCACCGGTGGGGATGCCCTAATACAAGTAGCATTTTGGAGTAATGGAACCGCTCCATCGAAGGTTACCAAAAGTGTCACTGAACCATGCCCACACGTATACTACCAGTACAGTAGTACTACTGTATTACCGGTAGTTCTCATCATGCTGTCATCATCTTGTCACCACCGCACGTTATTGTGGATTGTCACAACTTTGTTAAATTACTACGTACTATGGCTTGTCACAAAGTAAGAAAAGATTACTCGCCGAATCAGCTGCTGTTACGTTTGACTGGGACTTGGGTGGTGATTGCGACAAACCCTGAAAAACGTTCAATAAATCTGGATACAGGGAATGACGTATTAAACGCCCCCGTGGTACTAAAATTTCGTATTGATTAAAGTATTGAAATTTCGAAGTAGTTTGTCCCAATACACAATTGAAATGCCAATTCGAAGTACCACGGGGGCGCTTAATACGTCATTCCCTGTACCGTTCAACCAAGAGTGAAAATCGTTCAAACCAATAAACTCTAGTTATATGAGGCATATTTTTTGTACTCTGACCACCTCAACTCCTACTAGGGGTTAAGCATTATACTTCGAAGTATGTGCACGCGGGGGTAAGACGAAGTCCCGAGGGGTTCCAGGGTTACGGGAAGAAAATTTGCTTGAACGGTTTTCAGTCTTGGCTGAACGGTATCCAGATTTCTTGAACGTTTTCCCCTAGTTTTCATGGTAATTGCTTCAAGTGTTCGATAGTGTGACATTTCATCCACCAGAATTATTGCTTTCCGAAGGTACTGTACCCACCCATCCCAGAATGCGAGGATCCTCGTTAGTATAGTGGTCAGTATACCTGACCCGGGTTCAATTCCCGGACGGACGGGGAGATCTTTTTCCAGTGATAGAGCATTGGTTTCTTAACTCAAACGTCGTCGGTTCGATCCCCGGCTTCACCGGATTATTTCCACAAGGATTTATCCTTCCCTCCACTTCAACCGAGATTCTTCGAAGTTCGGTCCTCGTCTAATGTTAGAAAAAGTTGGTGCTGGTGTAAGTAAGTAATCCGGTAAAATAATAACTGGTCAGTGTAAATTGTGCCCGGATAGTACAGTAGTGGTGTTTCATGGCCAATCACTCAAAATGACGGAGCTTGGGCAACTAGAAGTGGCTGCCAAAGACAGCCCGACAGCGAAGTAGCCAAGGGCATCTAAAACAGGCTTCGACGTATGTGACGTAGAACAGTTTTAGTTGTGAAATGATGTTGGCATAGTACTACTGTAGGGCAGAAATACCTTGCCATCGTCGTTTCGAATGGAGTAAACATTCATCGGTGACTCCTTGTTTGATCTGCCATCGTGTCCGACAACGGCAACCTGCCCACATAGTTAACGAGGAAAAGTGGGTGCTGAAAACGTGGGTGATTCTTTACTTCAACCAGACCCTTACACAACAGAATTTACACCATGGTCGCTTTCGCAGTTCTAGCGGTGCTCATTCTAATGTCCCCCATTATTCCCCAACTACAGGTCGAAGAATCACAGGAATTGAAGTAGTATTGAATGCGAAGTACTCAAGTGAGTGGTTTGATTTCAGTCGTCAGTTTGATAGTTTGGGAAGATTCCAAGGTATTTCCATCTTAGAGATTACAAGTACTGGTAGATTAGTCGCATAGGTAGTAATTCTGATGACATATCGTACTACCTATACGCATACTACAATAGTAGTTGTGTCAAATAAGAAAGCACCCCACGCTGTCCCCCATACACACGAGCCCCCAAACCTTGCACTCATTGTTGAAATTCCTTCATGAAGACCATTGCCATTCTCGCGCTTGCCTCGTCGGCTGCAGCATTTGCCGCGGGGGATATCGACCTGAACGAAACCACCGCCAGTGTGTTGCGAGGCCCCGACAGAAAGCTCCTCACCAACGCCCAAGTCCAAGCGATCCACAACGACGCGGACGTCAACCGCCAGTGCCACAGGGCCAACGGCGGGTACCTCCAGACGTTGGAACGTGGTAAGTACGCGGCCAGCATATTCCACAATTGTTTCCGCACGTCGGAGCAAATCTTCGATTATGTCGATGAGTTGGTGGCGCAGAACCCAGCTTTGTTGAAAAAAGAAAAGATTTCGTGCACCGTCCGAGGCAAGCCTATCTACGCGTACAAACTGATCAGCGGCAGGTCCAAGGAGAAGTCGTTGTACTTCCAAAGTCTGGCCCACGCCCGGGAATGGATCGCGGGGTCGTCCAACTTGTATGCGTTGTCTTCAATCCTGGATGACATTGCCAACGGGAAAACGACGGCGGCGGACAAGTTCAACTTGTACTTTGTGCCGATCGTCAACATTGACGGGTACGACATCTCGTGGACGAACGGCAAGCGGTTGCAGCGCAAGAATGCCAACGAAGTCGACCTGAACCGCAACTGGTTGCAGTTCACCACGAACCCCAACAAAAACCCCAAACCCTCGGACGAAACTTACCCTGGCCCGCGTCCGGCGAGCGAGCCAGAAACTCAGGGGATTGCGAAGTGGCTCCATGCCAAGAACTCTGAAATCTCCGGCTGGGTGGACGTGCATTCCTTCTTGGGGGCGATATTGTACCCTTATGGCGACACGGAGGAGCCCATCGGCAACAGCGACGACGCCAAGTTTCAACGGCTCGGCCGTAACGTAGCTGCCGCAGCCGGTCGTAACTACAGGGGCCAAACGGCGGGTTCCCTCTCAGTTGCGTACGGGGCGTTCGACGACTACCTCTACCGCACGTACAAGAAGCCCGTGGTGACCGTCGAAGTGGCTGGTTCTCACTTTGTCGCCCATGTGTCGACCATCCGTACCCGCGGCGAGGAAATCTACAGAGCGTTGACTCAATTTGCCAAAGAAGTCTTGATTTTCGAGGGCAACAGCGGTGGCAACATCGGTGGCAACATCGGTGGCAACTTCGGTGGCAACGGTGGTGGGCTTGTCTTTCCTAAAGATTGATTAACCAAAGCAAGTCGGACGTGGTGGAAGGTGACGTTGGGATTGTTGGTATCTGACGATCATTGACTACCAGTAGATTGTCTGTTGAGGCAGAGTGGTGAAGCATTGCATATATTCAAACGGGATATATAGCGTTGTCGTTATGCCCATGTTTCATCTCTGGGGGCATTGAGTTTATAGTAACTGCTGGCCAACTCCGGAGTGTAATCTACGTTCCCATGATTGTTCCTGGTCAAGTCCCCATTCGCAATTGGTATGGTGCACTCATTCGATAAACTTCCTACTTCTCAAACCCAACACCAAGTCCTCCCTCCAACATCAACGCCTCGTCAATTTTAGCCTACTTCGAAGTATTGTGCTTTTCGCTATTCACACCATAAACCTGGGTGTTTGTTACCTCGACCCCAGTGTTTTAGATAATCCGTACTGGGAAAAATTGTTTTCACGAGTGCTTTTTGGGGGTTTTACGCGTGAAATGAAAAGTGGGGGAATTACGCGTATTTTCTCAATAACAACTTTATGTCTTGGTTCTTGTATGTGCAACTAGTTGCATATGGTGGAGGTGCTGGCATGATCGAGTATGAGTCATGGGACCAACATTCCTCAACAGGAAGGCGGTCGGTATCATCATGTTCTGCCGCGTCCGCAGAAGTGCGTCGTGTGCCCTTGGAAATGACCGAGGGCAAACCGCACCTACATCGGAGGTCGAGAACCGTCTGGTTTCGACGCGTGGCCGATATCGACGGCGGGTTAGTATAAAAGGTTAATCCAGTCAGTTTGCATTGTGAGTCTAACCATCGTTTTGGTTGCTGTGCTGGTCGACGAAGCGTCGACAGTACGGGGTGCGGAACAAATAATTCTTTAGAGCACGTATCGATCTGAAGCAATGAGTGATACGGAAGCGGAACCGTCAAACCGCAAGTCTCAGTCGCTGGAGCGCGACGACGACACAGTGCCTATGGAGCCATGAGGACACGAAGGTCGCGGATGTTTCCGTGGGCCTTTCGGCTCTCCTCGAAGAAACAAACACCAACCCGTCGATCGGATGGGGTTTGGTGTCCAAGGTGGAGTGGGATGACGTCAAGTTGGACGCCATCGGCTTACCAACGCGAGCTGCGGCGGAAGTGCCGCTGCCTGACGCATCATCTGTGGGTGCGAGTGCACCTGATGACGTGGAAAGTACTGAACGCACCGGCTTTATCGTTGCCGCCCTCTCTCAAGGGATCGACGAAAGCAGATTGTCGTGCGTTTATGCGAGAATACCAGCGATACAAATCATGACATTGCAATCAACGGGCCAACATCCGTTTTTGATGCCACTCGGCGCGTGTATGGACCTGTTTTCAAAGCGACGCATCGCTTTGGAAAGTCACATGGCGCTTTGGGAAGTCACATGGTGATGCGACAAAAGACGAGTGGGTGTCCTGGTTCATGGAGGCCCACGATGAAGAACCCGTTGAGTTGGACGCGCTGAAGAAGCGCCTTCGGGTGGCCGTACAGTTCGACACCAAGATCCTCGAAGCCGACAGTCGTAAGTCGAATGCTCGACAACTTGATGAAAACCCTCGATGCGGATGGCCAAGAGTGGGTACTCCATCAGGAGGGGAAGTTGGTGGTGGGAATCATCACCAAAGCGATCAAGCCAGCAACCGCTCCAGCTGGCCGTGACGAAGCAGCGGCAACTGCAGCGGAACAAAGTGCTCAAGTCAGACGTGTCTCGCTACGTCAAGTGGCTGCGGGAATTCGCCATTGGGTACCAGCTGTATGGCGGCATGGGGGAAGAAAGACCTTCGAAGGCGCCGGCAGAGGAGCTGCGAAAGGAAAACTCACGGCTTCGTTCACGTTTCAGCCCGGTCCCCGAAGAAAAGCGGCCCAGTGGCGCGTCTGTCGCGCCTCCTACTTGGCGTGCCGATAAAATAGACGAGCCGCCAGAGCGGCCGAAGCCCAAGTGCCTGAAGTGTCAGTCGACGGCACACCGAGTGCGGGAACACCCTGGCATTACAGATGCCGAGGTAAAAAAGTTGATGGACGACTTCCATCAGGCGCGCCGTCGGTCGGTGAACTTCGTGTCGAGCTCGAAGCCTGCGAACAGCATGGAGTGCCAAGCGTCGATCGAAGACGTTCTCACAATTCCTAAAGTGTTGCTGGATTCTGGGTCCGACTCAACGTTGGTGTCGGAAGGCCTCCTCGTGGCGCTGGAACGCCATGGAGCAAGTCTCAACGTTGAGTCTAAGCCAAGACTCATGTTGACGCCGTATGGAGAGACAAGCAAACCTCTCCATGTGACACGGCAAGTGCAGTTCAAGACGGTGACGTTGGAGACGTCAATCGGCCCCCTGGTCTTGCGTGGGCTTTGAGCGTGGGTCGAAGTAAAGAAGTTGGAGGTCGACGTTCTCATTGGACGTCCCGTTATGGAGCGACTGGGGTTTTCAGTCGACGGCATGCTTGTCGACGCGTTGAAGCAGCGTCGAGTCTGGGATATGGCCGAAGCGGGAGATGCTGACCAGACGTCGGCAAACGTGAAGCGGCTGCAAGAGGCGTTCCAGGAAGATCCCGAAGACGCATTGTACGCCGAGGACGTGACGTGTTCCACTCCCGCAATGGAGAAGCCCGCCGACCAAGACTGCGAGATAAAGCGCATTCTCAACGGCAAGATTGCCGAAGCCATCCAGCTTGGACTCTCCCCTGCGCATGAAAGCGAACTCCGGCGTATTTTGGGTGATCACACCGATGTCTTTCGCCTGGAGTTTGGGCAAGCCTTGCCGGTGGATGTCGAGCCGTTGAAAGTACGGTTGAAGGAAGGAGCGGTGCCCGTGAAGTGTGCGTTGCGCCGGTACCCGCCGGCCCACATGGAGTATTTGAAACAGCATGTGGAAGAGCTCGAGGCCGCAGGCCTCGTCAACCACAATAACCGTGAGACATGGGCGGCAGCGCCGCGGATTGTCGCCAAGAAAGCCCCGGGCGAATATCGAATGACCATCGACTCTCGCCCGATGGAGGTCCCCATGCCGTGGCCGATGCCGAATCTGGACGCTGCGATGGCGACTTTGGTCGGCATGAACGTGTTTTTCACGTTGGCAGTTGCCACTGTACCCATCCTGTTAGATGTGGTACTCGTTCATGACACCGTTCGGTGTCTACACGCCAACCAGAATCCTTATGGGGCAGACGGACGCCGTGGCCTATTGCCAGTCCGTGGTGAACCAAATGTTCGGCGAACTGTTGTACGCCGGGGTGCTGGGTTGGTTGGACGATCTCCTGGGGTACGCAGACAGCTCGGACAAGCTGTTTGTGTTGTTGGACAAGGTGCTGTCCAATTGCGGAAAGTTCCGCCTCAAGCTACATCCGAAGAAGTGCGATTTCTTCTTGAAGAAAGCCACGTGGTGCGGAAAAGTGATTTCCGCCGAAGGGATCTCCCATTCCCCTGATCGAGTTCAGGGCCTGTGTGCACTGGAGACGTCAACGTCTGGCGCCGATCTGCAACAATTTGTCTGCGCGACAAATTGGATGCGGAGCTCCATCCCAAGCTACTCGGAGCTGATTGGTCCTGCGGAGCCTGTTGGACGTGGCGGCGAAGGCCGCTCGGGGAAGCCAACGTATGGGCGGACCTGCTCAGCCGGTGGGGTGCCGCTCCGTTACCTGCGGCAGTGGCGAGAGTGCGACTACTGGTTGTTTTCTCGCCCTTATAGAAGGCAGCCTGGAAAGCTGCCGGCGAGGACGTCCCCAATGTGACATGGAGCGTCAGCGACGGGTATTACGTGACCGCCACTGGAAAAATTTGGATCCCCGAGGCCGCAGTGGACCTGCAGCAGCGGATCTGCATCATAGCCCACCAAGGCGCGGCGGGTCACCGCGGAGTGGGCGTGACAACCCAAGGCGTACTCGAGCGGTTTGAGTGGCGAACCGCAAAGGAAGATCTGAACGCCTTTGTGGGCAGTTGCTTACACTGCCTGTGTGTCGACGGCACGATGGTGCCGAGACCCTGGGGCGCTGCCCTGCATGCGGAGCGCCCAAATGAGCTCATCCACTTCGATTGGCTCCAACTGCCGCCAGCCGCGAATGGCTGGAAATATGTGCTTGTCGTCAAGGACGACAAGCACAAGCACATGAGTGGGTTTTGTCGTCTGTTCCCTTCGGCAACGGCCGACGCGGAAAGCACAGCAAACGCCCTGATGATTGGTTTGCGACACATGGCAGTGTGTCGACATGGCTTTCCGATGGCGGAACCCATTTCAAGAAGGAAGTCGTGGGCAAGATCAAGAGGATGATCGGTGCCCATCACCAGACCACAACGCCGTACACGCCGTGGGCGAACGGCACAGTGGAAGTCGTTAATCGACTTATCCTGCGAGGGTTGAAGACCCTGACCAGCGAAATGAAGCTTCGTCCGGACGAAGGGCACCGTGTGTTGGCCCTGGTACAGAGCGCGTTGAACCACCAGCCGGCGGACCGTCTCGGCGGTGTGGCTCCAGTGACCGCGTTTCAAGGCTTTCCGTCTACAACGCCTTTAGCTGGGTTGGTACACCCAAGGACCAAGAAAGTACTCACGGTGGACTGGCCCTCGAAAGCGCGTCAAAAGCACATGAACGTGCTGCGACAAGCCATGGAAAATATGCACCGCGACGTAGCGGCTCGAAGAGAGAAGTTGCCGCAGCAGGCGCGAGGTCGCCGCGAGAAAAAAGCGCACGTGTGCTTAGCGAATTTTGCGCTGGGCGATTTTGTGCTGTTGGGAAAGATCATCAAGTTCCCCAACAAGTTGGCACTCAACTGGAAAGGTCCGTACCGCCTATCGCGGGTCGACTCAGACTATGTGATGGAAGTCCAATAGCTCGTGGAGCCGTTTGGGACGTCGGTCCACCATGCCAGCAGGCTGAAGTTTTTCAGCGGTGCTGCATTGAACGTTACCGATGACCTGGTGGACTACGCCGCGTTTGGCGATGAAGGTTATTTTGTTCAAGAACTTCTGGGCGCTCGCCGTAGCGCCGACGGACAATTCGAAGTGCGCGTCAAGTGGAAGGGCCTCGACGAAGAAGAAGCTCCGTGGGAGCCAGCCCTCCAACTCTATGAAGATATTGCGGTCGTCCTGCGCCGCTGGATCGTGAAGAATGCCAGCGACGGCGTCGTCAAGGAAATGCGCGACGACTTAGAGGCGACCCTTGGCCATTCACTGTAGGGGGAAGTGTTCTGCCGCGTCCGCAGAAGTGCGTCGTGTGCCCTTGGAAATGACCGAGGGCAAACCGCACCTACATGGGAGGTCGAGAACCGTCTGGTTTCGACGCGTGGCAGATATCGACGGCTGGTTAGTATAAAAGGTTAATCCAGTCAGTTTGCAGTGTGAGTCTAACCATCGTTTTGGTTGTTGTGCTGGTCGACGGAGCGTCGACAGTACGGGGTGCGGAACACATCCCCGTCTTCGCCAATGGCATAAGAAGATCTTCATTACTTTGGAAGATGGGAACGATGTCCTCTCCCTTCCACGCTGTGATGGCATCTTTCGGGCTGTGGGCAAGTTCGGTGACTGTATGACCATCATCGGAATGATGGGGACATGGTAGGCCATCGACGAGGACTTCCACGCATACATAATACACTCATACATAATACAGCATGATGTGTGTGCATGGAGCCTTCCTTATACATGGGGCATTTGAGTTAACAACAGTTCAAATATTGAGGGACACGACAAAAGATATGCAAATGTGCTATCAATTTGGAATCGAGTGGTGAAGTATACAGGGAACGACGCTGAATAGTGGCGCAAGGTCGCGCCTTGATTGGATGTTCGATTGGCCAATGATGATCGATGTCACCCATAATTTAATGGACATGCCATGGTAATATTGAAATATTATATTCACTTTTACAGGGTATTTGTTTAAACAATAAGCTGGAGCAACAAGTCTTGTCTCTCAAGATACAATTCACACAGAATATGCATTAATGCAGTGAATACCTCTTCGGCATGACTTCATTACACACCGCACAATTGTGCAACCAAAGGTGGATATGTCAAAAAGTGTGACCGACAAGGCAATATTAATTTACATTACTTTGTTAATTACATAGTAAAACCAAGATAATATAAAAAATACGGATTGGGTCCATGGTACCAACGCCATAGACTTCCCCCCATTTCTCCCCTGATCAGATGACAAGTAGCTGCGGAATGTCCTTCAGGTACGTTACGAGGTCTTGACTGTCGGGAATGATCATTCGTCCGCCGCAGGTGCCGGTGTTCTTCTTACGAGTTTTAGACCGTTTGAGGCGAACCCAGTAGTCGTGGCCGCGTATGCTGTACTCGTTTGCTCGGCTAAGCTTACGACTTGTATCTTATGTGCCAGCGTGGTACGTGTGCGATATTGTGTGCCGCGCGGCGCTAGTGTAGTCAGCAGCCTTTCCATACGAACTGAAGTTTCGAGGTGATCAAATCATGGAGTTTAGCATGCTTTGAACTTCAATACATTGCCGCGAAATATTTCTACCAATCACTGTCACTTATTCGAATTTACTAGATTTGATTGGATAATTCGATACCTTATTCACCTTCGTTCCCTGTACTATACGTATATTATGAGGAAGTCGAGGCTGCAGTGACCACTCAGAATATTATCATCGCTTCATGGTATATGTCTCAACTGCCCACGTGAACACCCCCTCCAACTCCACAGTATCTCATTGCTACCCCCAGGCCAATTGTTGTTCATATTGTGTTCAGACACCAGGTAGTGTACATCGCTACAATCGAAGCGACATACTTCCTCTGTTCGACTTTACTGCCGACATTACAAAAACCCACTTTTTCCACAATACCGACGACACTTCTCTACTATTGGCTAATGATGTCAATGCATGCATATTATTGGTTAAAAACTTCATTGGTAACCTAGACTAGATGATGTGGACAGGACACGTTGGTCATGAGTTTCCCGGTGCGGCGCAAGGCTTTCTTGCCTAGATGTGGCAAACCGAACTGGTTGCCGCCGTTGTTCTCGAGGACCAAACGCATGACCGCTTGCAAAGTCAGGAACGCGTCCACCAACTTCTCGCTTTCAAGGAGAGCGAATGCAGCAAGGGTCGCACGAATGACATCATCGACCGAATGACTCTCAAACTTGTATTGCAGCGCTTGGATGGAAGCAAAGAATCCTAGGTCCAAAACGTTGAGATCCGGGCTGTTCGGAGGTTGGGAGCGGACAACAAACGTCCAGCCATCGGTCGACACGGAGGCAAGGAGTTCGTCCGTGATGACTCTGTGTGGCGTGGCATTGTCGTCTTGTAACACAACATGCTTGTTCATCGATGGAAAACACGCCTTGATTGCAGGTATCACACGCGTCATGACGTAGTCACGGTAAAGCTCACCTTCAACATTCACCAAAGTCGTCACCAGAGTTCCGGTGGCGCGGTTGCGCGAGTTTCGGGCCGCTGGGAGGTACTTCACGCACGGCCACATTCCAATCTTCCCGTCGAACATAACTCCACGCTCATGATCAAATCTAGGCCGCGCGACGGCAGCCAAAAACATGACTTTGGGAATGAAGCGCTTGCTCTTGCACGCTCGATTGCGAACACTTTGGCCCTTGACAATGTACACCTTTCGTCGATCCTTGTCCGCATTAAACCACTTTTCATCCAGGTGCACGATGTCCCACATGTCCGCAAAATGCGAGTCGTTGGAGGAGGTTCGCATCGGTAAGTAGTGGCTTGAGTCTTGACGAGCGCCGCTGAATCGTTCCGGTTTTCAGGTGTTTATGGAGGCTCATTGTTGGCACGCCGGTGGTCTCAATCATGTCACGGAGAGTGGATCGCTGGGTCTCAGGGAGTACTGCGATACGGGCCGTGACTGTTTCCACATGGTAGACCTCCTTGCGCCCGACGCGGCCTAGTTTGGACGACGGCATCATGGAGTTGGTCGAGTATGAGTTCCAGATTTTGGACACGTTGGTTCGATGAAGATTGAAGTGCGTGGCTGTTGACGTGAAGGCACCACGCGGCAGCTTGCCAAGGATCGTGAGTTGATGGAGGCGATTGATCACCTCTATCTTCCTCTTGTACGTGAGCTCTCGTGTTCGCGCAAGGTCCATGACAATCGATGCGTGCAAGTCCTGTAATTTTTTAATGAAAATTAATTATTTTGAATTATTCCGTGGAACATGGATGACGAATTCATTTTAGGGCGGCAAAACTTGATTTTTCCCGCTTTGCAGCCAATGGAAAATACCTTCATCTTTGCATTCTCTTTCAAACGTGATATGGCATATGAAATTTGGACAATAAATGAATTTTGGGGGTCGCTGAGAAGTGTTGTGTCGGCTGTAAAGTCGAACAGAGGAAGTATACTACTATGAGGCAATCATAATGTTGCTGAGTGGTGAATGTTCAGTACACTTCCTATTGGGCAGACTTTGACTAAGGAGGTCATCATAGTACTCGCCAATTCGTCGGCGGCCTTAGTGGCGCAAGCATTGGTCCAACGTGCAGCACTAGGCCACCAACAAATGGAGCGTGAATACGTTCAGGGGTAAACGCGCTGGAAGTGATCCGCTGTTATGGGTGCAATCGTCAGCTCCATCGACAACGTTACATACTGTATCAATGTCAGCGTTGCTGTGGACAATGGGTGGCTCAACATGAACGAAATCCACTGGGCTACCGCTGAGACAAGCTCGATGGTTGCATGCGCTATGGTCCGATGGGCTCAACATGTACAGTACAACCCGTACATGATAAGCCCATCGGACTACACTGTATTGTGCGCGCACCGTAGTGGGTCGCTCTGTGGATCTCGTGCAAAGTAGGAGGAGTGCAAACAGAATATGGCCCAAGTGTTGATGCGGATGGCTCTCACGAAGGGTTAATTGTACCTTTCTTATGACGCGTCCGCAACTCGCGTCATGCAGTCGTCGTAGTGGAGTGGACTCTACTACCATGCAGGTATCATTGATGTTGTACAGGTACGTACCGAGTATTGGTTGAGGGCAGCGGGTTTTTATAGTTATATTGATATAACGCTGTAATGTTAAAGTTAAAATCGCTCAGTGGGCACTTAATGGCCTCGCCCGCGTACTACAGTAGCTGCGTTAGCAGCTAGCGGACTTGAAGAAAACCATTTTTTTCGGCCCCATGGTATAAGGATGCTTAAGCCGCTGGAGGTGATATCCTGGGGTCCAGGGGAAGTCGCGGTGGCCGGAGTGTCGGGTCGGCAGCGGGTATTGTTCTAGGGCAGTTGGAAGCAGATCTGCAACTACCTCAGCTACTGTACGTTCTTGCTCTACCTCGACCAGTGAGTGAAATTGGACCTGTATTGGTCGAGATAGAGCTTGTAGTGTCTCTGTAGTAATGGCCGCTGCATGTCGTGCAGCACGCCAGTGGGGAGGCGAGTCCATGTGGCGAGTCCATGTCTGCGTGAACGAGGCTGGTCCCACCTCTGAGAGCATTACTCAGCGGTGGGGCCAGCCGAAGAATCGAGATAATAATCCTTACTAATAATTCTCAATATTCAAAATTGGTGCGGTCCGCACTATTACATGTGCCATAGGTAATAACATGGTGAGTTATAAAACTTCCAATACCGTATAGTGTAATACGAGTCGGATAGTGATATGCCGTATCCGAATACGGATACGATGTGAATTACAAGGTGATCTTGGCTTTCGTTCCGGACATACAAATACAAAGTAGTCCTACACCAAGCCTAAAATTGCAAAAAACATTATATTACCACGGAAATTCAGTTTCACAGGAAATAGACAAGAAGAGAGATCGACGTGAATAAAAATACCAAGTCGCCATACAAAACATTTGTTATTTATAGAATTTATTCAAATGCATCCGTTCCATCACCAACACTGTCGTCGCCATTGCAAATATCGCCGTCAGGGTCAATGGTCTCCTCAATGGAGCTCGCAGCCATCAGTTCCGACAGAACCGTGTCGTCCACAACACCACCCGACACCACTTCCTCTACAGGTTCACCATCGACTAAACAGCACTTTCTAAACCCATTGACAAT